TACCAGATTTTTTTTCAACTTGGTACTGGAAGCAACAATGGCTGTAGCACTGAGAGATGAAACAGGAGTAGTCATATTATGTGGAAGGACAGTGCACAACTTCAGGCTTGTAGACAATGTTGACCTCAAAGTATTGACCAAGGAGGATTGTCACAGGCTGACTGGCCCCTTAAGAGGGATCTGGGGCCAATACACCTGGACTAATTACCTGAATGATTAAAAGGAGGGAATCTGGACTCCTAGATAATGGGTGGCTTGGGCTAGAGAGGTCTCATCCCCCCCCCCCCAATATCTATTTTCTGAGCTACCCCACTGCCTGCCCAGTTCAGCAGGCAAAGCTCCATGTCTGGTGGCTCCAGGGCCAGGAAGGTGACAGAGTGGAGCACTACAGGGGGAGGTCCCCACCTGCACACTGAATTCCCAACAGGTGGAACTAGATTCCTCAGCGTCACCAGGAAGAGATGGCTCCTGAGCCGTGCTTCCATGAAGGTTTGCTGGAAGGGGGCAAGAGTTCTGGGGGAAGGAGGTGGATCCTGAGGTGACTGAGAGGGCAAGAGGGAGGAGAGTCTCACAAGAAGGGTGAGATACTGAGGTGATTGGTCTCAGTCCCCCAAGGCAGGAGCCACCACTGTAGGGTGAGTGCAGGGCAGAGCAGGGCCTGCTCTCTCATCCACCTCCCAAACAATATTTTCACCAGCTGCCTATGCCTGGGCTTTGTAAGGGACTGAATTCCTCCTAAAAAGGGAAATTTAATTATAACAACAATAAACCCAGCTATGGGGAGGAAATCAAAAAGGAAAATACAAGTAGTGTTGAAAACTCACAGAGAGCAGTGAGGGCCAGGAGTCAGGAGCAAGGGAATGCTGCTGGAGACAGCGAGGACAAGTTGGAGAGCTGGTTGAGTTGGGTCTGGGCTCCTAAGAGAAACAGGCTGGTACACCTTTCTGGACCCGTCGAAGTCAGAAAGGCTGCAACCCCAGGAAAAGGGTCCTGGGAAACCTCATTGCTCTATAGGGAAAAAAGCTGGAAAAGTAGCCAGGGAGGCTGAGGTTTGTTTGGTTGTGGACAATGGAAGTCAGACCAAAGGTGATGGGGGAGAGGGAGAGTGTTTGCCACGTGGGAGACAGAAATTCTAAAGTTTGTCCAATAGGAGGCTGGGAGGAGGAAGTCAAGAGTTGAAACAGCAAAGCGCCCAGACCACAGAAAAGAAAAACTGTGACCCACTGAGAGATTGGGAAGAGACTGTTTTAGTTATTACATGCTAATGACATAGCTCCGAGAATGGATGTATTACATGACTCCAGTCTTGGTCAGATGACGAAGACCCCTAGGGAACAGGAAAACAAAGGACAGATACTGCTAAGCTGCCCAAGACAAGGATGGGACACCACAGAGCAGGTGTATACATCTACAAGGATTTACAGAGAATAACTCACAAGGTAGGCAAAAGGCAAAAAATTTGGATTGAAGATCAGCACGGATAATGGGAACTGTCAAGATGACATATAAAGAAAAATTGGACTAGCCACTACTGCATTTGGAAAATTCTGGAAGATCTGAAAGTCTGAAGACATTTCAAGAAACATGAACCATATATGAGACAACTGTTGTGCCAATACTGCTGAACAAGTCAGAAAGCAGATAAACGAAATATATTGACTGCAGATATGACCTGGCTGAGGGGAATAACAATTCAAGAAAGAAGACTGGAGATCATTCATGATGATACATACCAGAATGCAAGGAACTAGAAATAGAGGAAGACCGAGGATGTGTTCGATAGACACAGAACTAAAAGGTTAAAAAATGAACAAAGCTGTAAAGCTGGTACAAGACAGAAAGCTGCAAAGGGTACTAACTCCATTGTTATGTAGGTTCTTGTGAACCACAGAGGGCAATTTATGAACGTGAATGTGGGTTGCACTGGAAAAGTCATGATGCCCAGGTTTTCCGCTGATCACAAGTCTACACTCATGGACAGGCTGAGACACAATTCCCACCAAGTGACATTGTCATAAATGGAGTTACTGTCCCCACTGTTATTCTGGCTTAGGCTTATGAATCCATACCCTGATTTCAGAGGCCCTGGCAAAAGAGGATTTAATTACACACTCAGCAGGTGCAGAATGGTTGTTCAATGTACTTTTGGGAGATTGAATCCCATTGGAGACATTTATAGAACCATTTGGATGCCAGTGTCATCGACGCTGTCCACATTACCATGGCTTGCTGTGTTCCTCACAATCTTTGTGAAGCCAGAGGCGAGCAGACCTATGACAATGAGGGGCCACTGAATCAGTACATTCAGCCAGAAAGTGCACCTACCACATCTGGAGCTGGATTCATCCAGGCAACAGAGGTCAGAGATGCTTTGTGTTCCCACATTGTGGACTTGTATGGCCCAGTGGAAGAGAGGGAATAGTACCTTTATGAATGTGCTGGGGGGGCGGGGTATGGGGGCAGGTAGGGTGTTTGGGGAGAGGTGTGGAATTTTAGTGCCAATACAATGTACTTATGAATGACATGACCACTTATAAAATGGGGGAGGGATATTATTCACAGTATAGAATCATAGGGTTAGAAGGAACCACAAGGGTCATCTAGTCTAACCCCCTGCCAAAATGCAGGATTTGTTGTCTAAACCACCCAAGACAAATGGCTATCCAGCCTCCTTTTTAAAAACTTCAGTGAAAGAAGCTTCCACAACCTCCCTAGGCAGTCTGTTCCATTGTCCTACTGTTCTTACAGTTAGGAAGTTTTACCTGAGATTTAATCTAAGACTGTATAGATTGATGTAAAAAAGTGATTGAAGTTTGAACTAATATAGATAACTATATTGAGGGAAAGTCTGTGCATACTAATTCCTAATTGTCCCTGCTCATGTGTTCACCTTATTATTTTGAATATACATCGTATGATGTGAAGCAGTAACAGAAACAAACTTTCTTGATTAAATAAAAAAATGTATAAACATGTGTTAGAAAAGTACAACATTCCCCATTGCCAGGCAAGTCTGCTGCCATTACCACACCAAAACCCCATTAACAGCAGAACCTTACAGAAATCAAAAACAAAACAAAAAAACCACTTTCACTATATGGCAGGGGAAGAGGACCAACTCCTTCTTAAGTTTTAACCCAGTGGTTAGAGTACTCACCTAGGATGAGTGAGACCCCCAGTTCATGTAGCCCATCCTCCTGAGCGGAAGAAGAGATTTGAACAGGTATCTCCCACCTCTCAGGTGAATGTCCTAACCACTGGGCAACGGGATATTCTGATGTAGTGCTCCCTCAATCTCTCCTGTTGAAACTGTTTCACTGTGCATAAAATAATGAAAAACTCATTGGGCCAGAGAGAGAAAGAGAGCAAGCATGAGGATGACGCTCTAGCTTTGTAGTTAGAGCACTCACCAGGGAAATGGGAGATCCAGAATCCAGCTCCCTGCTCCAATGACTTTTTTTTTTTTTTTTTAATTATTTATCAATTGTGGAACAACTTCAACAGAAGTGACCGGCAGAGCCTTACATCAGATTATCCCATAACCCAGTGGATAGGGCATTCCCTTCAGAGACTGCAACTCCCTGTTCAAATCCCATCTCCAATGGAAGAGGAACTTGAGCTGGGGCATCTCCCACATCCCAAGTGAGAACCCTAACCACTGGGCTAAAGGTTATGAGGGAAGTTGTTCTTCTCCCCTAGCTTCTTGTAAAAGCAGCATATGCATCTAACCCCGAAAAGAGTTTGCAGCTGAGAATCCCAAACAGAGGGAAGCGCTTCCCTTCCACCTGGACTTGGGCTCCAAACTGCCAGGGGGTAGGGCTTAGAACACAACCTTCACATTGGCACCTCCCATTGGCTAGCTTAGGCAGGTTGTCACCCAGCGTGCTGGCTTTTGTGCATCCTATTTGGAGATGTCTACATCTCCCCATTCATTGTATAAGGAGCCCTAGGCGCCTAACTCAGGCTTGATGAATCCCAGTGATTTTGCAGGTACTTACAATTTAGGCATCATCATGCCTAAGTTTCTTTCTGAATCTAGTCCTCTATACAGCAGCTAATGCCTTATCCATACAAACAGTATTTTATAGATCTTCCTTTGCTCTTAGATATAATGGATACTTGCATAAGACACAAAGAACCTGGCCTACTTCTGAGTTGACTTACTTCAATGGAACTACTCCAAATTCACAGGTTTCAGAGTGGTAGCCATGTTAGTCTGTCAGCAAAAACAACAAGGAGTCCTTGTGGTACCTTAGAGACTAACACATTTATTTGGGCATAAGCTTTTGTGGGTTAGAGCCCACTTAAGCTTATGCCCAAATAAATGTGTTAGTCTCTAAGGTGCCACAAGGACTCCTCGTTGTTTTTCCCAATTTACAGTGGCTGGTGAGCATAATAAAGCCTTCTTATTCTTAACAGTACACTGGTTCCAGCTGCCCATTTCTGACCTGAAATTACAGTCTTAGCTTTGTGATATCACCCACTAGTTACAGTAATAATCTTGTATTAGTCTTTACAAATAACTGACTTTAAGGCTTCAGGGAGACATTTAGTTCCTTTTTCTTCAGCCTTTCATTTCAAGTATTTTTGTATATTAATTTCTCCCGTAGAAGAGTAAACCTCTGTTACCATTATCTATCACCTACACAACTTTTTTTCCAAATCGGTATAATGAAAAAGTAGACTCAAGCCTGTGCCAATAGTCACTAGTATGGACCTACGTGCCCTTGCAGAATCCAGCAAACTCACTGAGACACTGATAGGGGCAGAGGACAGTGCTAGCAAACCCAGGTGAAGGATCAGGACTACTGACTCATTCACTGTGCCAACATAATAAACAAATCAACATAAAATGTAAAATGCTATGAAAAATAAAGGAATTTACTCAGAGTAAATACTTTGATTTCATTTAACTAGCGGCCCCCAATAGTAACTTTTTATTTACAACACTCACGACAAACTAGGTTTATTTTAAGTTTGATAACTAATTGTTCACCTACCGAATCATGTGCTGCTAATGCAAGGGCTATGTTTACTGTAAGGAAAGGGAAAAAAAAAAAGTTAACAGCAGAATTTTATTTCCCAAATATTTTACAATTTTATGAACTTCCACAAGAAGGGAAGAGACATCTAATATAAATATTGAACATGTGATTACAATTGCCAGTTTAGTTCTTAAGGCTTGTCTTCACTGCAACAGTTTGGGCATTACTTCACTGGCAATGTTAAAGCACTGGCCGCGGCCGCGCTTTAACATGGCTGTGTAGTCGGCAAAAAAAAAAAAAAAAAAAACCACCTTCACGAGGGGAATGGCTACTAGCGCTGGTGCACTGTCTACACTGGCACTTTACAGCGCTGAAACTTGCAGCGCTCAGTGGGTTGTTTTTTCACACCCCGAGCGAGAAAGTTGCAGCACTGTAAAGTGCCAGTGTAGACAAGCCCTTAGCTCAAGTCAGTACACTTGAGTTAACCACCTAGCTCCAGTGAGAGTAGAGTGATCACACTGCAAAACAACACAGGAGCTATAGAGTGATTTTATCAGCAGCACATAGTGACTGGATTAGCATCTGATGAGTTGTTAAAAGCGACAGAGAGTCCTGTGGCACCTTTAAGACTAACAGATGTATTGGAGCATAAGCTTTCGTGGGTGAATGCCCACTTTGTCAGATGCATGTTGTTGTAACTCAAGATGCTGCATCCCCATTGCATGATCAGTTCCAGCATTAGCAGCACTTGAGCTTCAACACCCCCACACTCCCTATAGGGCTAACTAGTTTTATCTTAAAGCACCACTTAACTCAAACTAGGGATTTGTGGGTGAATAGAATCAGATTAGGGGCAAAACTCGAGTCATAGCTTGAATTAATAATGCAATGAAGGCAAGCCTTTAATTTCTAAGAGACCATGCAAAATAAAAAAAGGTTTTTCAAAATGTACTCTACCAAAAGAAAAGCTTGAGAAAAATCTTTGCGATTTCTGTTAGAGAATTTAATACCAAGTTGATTTTTTAAAGGCGTAACAGGTTGTACTTTAAAAAAAAGATCATACAGATTTACTTACCATGCTCTCCACTAACCCTTTTAATTTAGTGACCAGTGACCTGCACCTTTAAAAACAGGCTTGTGCCATTTTTTGCTTGCATATGATTATTTAAAAAAAATTAAAATAAAAAAAGAGATGTTGACATTTTCTGTTACAGGAACAAAACCAGGTTTTTGCTTGATTGTTACTTTAAATTTCAACTCTTATCTACCCTGGAAGCATCTGTAGCAGTGCTGCTTGGGAAATTTTCAACAATGGGGGAGATTCATCAAAACAAACTTTTGCAGGAACATTCTAGTTTTGACAAAATTTACTAAAGAAAGGTTTCTCAGGTCCAGTTTGGAATTTCTGGCCAAAACCAGAGAGAAACAGAGACATTAGCACATCAGCATGGTGGCTAGGGCTTTCATCTAGGATATGGAGACCTAGGTTCAAATCGGTGATCTGAATCATCCTAATAGCCAGGCTATTTGCTGTTCTCTGTTGGGTAGGCCTGTCTGTCTCACTCTCTTACTTACTTCAAAAGGTCTCACGTTCGCCACAATGCAGAACAGGAACATTTTTGAACCAGTGAAACATTTTCACAGGATGGGAAAACCATTGTCCACCCAACTCTAGTGTGGAAGCAACTTAAGAACTTGTGAAATTTGACAAGAGACTGAACACTGAGCAATTGAGAAGGACTTTTAGTCAGATGGTTTACAGTTTTTATATTTTTGTTTACAAAAGCAACAAGGAGTCTGGTGGCACCTTAAAGACTAACAGATTTATTTGGGCATAAGCTTTTGTGGGTAAAAATCTCACTTCTTGTTTGTGTCAACCTTTATTTAACTCTAGTACTTGGAAAGAAAGGATGTTTTTATGAAAGATTCAACAACGCAACACCTTCAACTAAGGTACAAGACCCTCAAGAAGTCCTTCAACAAAACCAGAAGATTACTTGACCTTCCTGATAGTTCCAAGTTAAAAACAAGCATTAAAAAAAAAATTTAAATTAAAACCTCTTTAGGCCTTCTTTATACATAATTAAAAAAAAAATTAAAAAAAAGGGCCACAAACCCAAGTTCAATTCTCTAAAGCAGCTCCAGTCTTTTTGGTAACAAGAAGGACGAGATAGATTTGTTGCAAGGTTGGCAGGGCAAGGAAAAGTTTAAACAAATTACAAAAACAGAGCTAAGATCTTTGCATGAAGAAAGTCTGGCAAGAGGGAAAACTGGAATGGAAGTGGAACAGAGGTATGAAGAGAGAGGTAGGAAGGAATAAAAATAAACCACATAATAGATGGATGGAAAATAGTATAGGAGAGGAGAAACATCAAAAGGATAAAAAGAGGAAGAAAAGCTTTTTCACACAAAATAGCACCTCCTATCAGTCACTGATAGGAACTGCTGTTTCCAGAAGATCCAGATCAGGTGTGTGAAAGTGACAGAAGAAACTGGGAAGTTGATTTAGCTTCTCGTAAAGGTAGAAAAGTTATAGGGCAATGGGAGAAAAAGAGAGAAACATCATTCAACAGTAAACACAATGGCTGATTAAGAAATGGTCTTGGATAGGCTTTCCCTGGGACTCACATCCAGTTGTCCTAAAATGGAGGGGTGGTTGAGGCCAGAATGTAAGAATACTTAAGCAATGAAAAATGAGGTAAACAGAGGCTCAGAGATACAGGATGGGGTGCTGAGGTCTGCAAAGCAGTCACATACATCTGTAGAAATATCTCCCCAAGAGTCCTTTAACAAAAAGGACAGCGTACACAACTTTAAAGGCAAGTTAATCTCAGATTTCAGCAGCGATGTAATGGGCTGAATAAAAATTCTGTAGTTATCTGACCTTTAGATATTCATCTTAACACTGAAATTTATTCTAATTTTGACAAATGAGCATCCAGAGACTGCTTTATCTTCTCAGTACACATATGCATTACCCATTGAAAGGAGACTATAGCTCCAAAACACCAATCCTTGGACAGTGAATTTAGATTTAAGCTACATCTTTGATATTTATTACTTTGTTATGTAGTCTGAGAGTGCAGTCCATTTATATGGTCAAAGAACTGGAATCTCTGCCCATATTTAAAAAAATAGAATTTAGTTAACTTAATCTAGACACCAATAAGTAGCCATGGATTCAGCTTGTTCATTTGTGGACATAAAGGAGTAAGTTGTTTTTATTGTTGGAAAGTCAACTTTACAAACCAGACTATCACCAACCTAACTAAGAACAGTGAATTACAATCACCAGCCAGCAAGCACATTGTAAAGAAATGCACAAATTGATTATTCTTCATGATGTGTCTGTAGAGAGGTGAAATCTAAAATAAGGAAATTCAATCCGTACTTCAGTTTACAATCACTATGGCAATTCCAAATTAAACATGTCTGTGTTTTGTTTTTGTTTCTTTAATTTAACAGCCTGTCCTTTCCGTGCCTGGCAACCCAGAAAATGAACTATATATGGTGTGTAGAGCTATGACCATCTTATTTAGAATATAGACTTTGAACAAAGAATCTGAGGATTTCATCAAGAAATATATATTAAAAAAAAAATAGGCAACATTCAGTTAAAGGGATATTACCTTCTTAATATGGATTCTGGAAGAGAGATTTTTAAATGGATTTACAAAGGCTAATATAAAGAGAAATATTTCCCAAGTAACTTTAATGTCAGCAAAACTTTTTTATTAGTAGTATTAAACAAACCTCCGCAGTGTTATCAACCCAAATGTAACATCATAGTTCTATTGCCTAGGAATCACAGTTAAAGGTAAATCATTAGTTTGAAATCAAGTTAGATGGGAAAAAAAAGGAGTCAAAGCCGTTTCAGGTACTGTATACACTTGTGAGGCCCTCTACCAATGTTTGTGGTTTTGTTTTTCCTTGGGTAATGTCTACACAAACAACTGAGAAAATGGACAAAAGGTCCTTATCCTGCCAGCTTCCCTACATGGGCAGATCCCTGACTCCCACTGAAGAAAATGAGTCTCCACGTGTGTCAGAAGTCCACCTGCACTGAGCAGCTTGCACAATGGAGGTCTAACTTAGATCCTGATCCTGCAGTATGGTGTATTTATAGGCAGACCTCTGCAACCATATGGAGCTACTTTGATCACAGGGAGACCCTGCAGAGGTATAAGGGCCTATCCAAAGTGACTGGACTATAGGATCAAGGCATATGAAATCTACAAGGTACACAATGAAACTAACTCTTACACAAAGTGTTGTGATTGTCAAATGCAGAAAGACAGACAGACGCTTTCTCCTCCGCCCCCCGCAATCCTGTTAAAATAATCTTAGGTGTTATTTGCACAATTATAGATGAAAAACATTCAAACGGACAGTATCCTTTTAAACTCTTGCAGACTACATAGAAGTGAAACTGACTTGTATGGTTTCACAGTTTCAGACTGAATTAAATACAAAAAAATGCCTAAGAGCTGAAAAGTAAAGTAGATTTTTTAAATGCTTTTAGTTTTTACTAATATTGCTGTACTGAAGATCTTTAATAAAGATAAATATGCATGTTTTTATTTTGCTGTTTACTGCCTGTGTAATTTTTTTTGTTTATTAATGTATTTGTATAAATATACCAAGCTCTTATGCATGTTATAAAACAGAAATAAATACCAGCACAATAATAAAAATGGATGACAGAGCAAACACAAAAACTTACCTGCTGTTGTTGACTTTCCAACTCCCCCTTTCCCAGAAGCAAAAACCAGTACCTGCTTAACTCCTTCTATTGGCTTTTGTTTTGGAAGTCCTCGAGACATGATTTGAGCACGTTTTTCTTTTAGAAACCCATCATTAGTGCTTGATGACTTAACAAAACAAAAACAAAAAAAATATATATTGTTTTGTTACAGATGTACAAGTCCTGTAGTCTTTGAAAGAAAAAATTTCAAAGAAGCTGGATTCCAGGAAAGTAACAGTCACATTAAGACGCAATGGCCCTGCCTACACTTTTGCACGCGAGTAGTCCTATTTATTCAGTGGGAATTATCTTGTGTATACAGTTACTCATATATATCTTGCAATATCAGGGCCTAATTCAGGAGTGATCCAACTGATGTCAGTGAAGTTACAAGTGCGCATATCTGGTAAAGTATTGCCAGCCTCAAAATGTTCAAAAATCACAAACTGCACACCCACAAAATTATGAGTTTAACTTAAACATCCTGAAATTTCTAACTTTTAGATTCTTTTATTTTATGCTTTTCTCTACAACCATGTGAGCTAGAAGCTTATAAGAAAGAAAGAAAGTTGAGATTCTCGCTTACTTATATGAATCCAGGTGCTGGGACCTGTGGGGTATAGATGATCCACCAGCTGCCATTGGCATTTTAAGCACCATATCATCTAATCCTACTCAGAAGAGCAAATCAAGCTGACCCACTGATTAAAAAGGCAGAGGTTGCTGGTGGCCCTTCTACAGTAGGGTTCCCAACATTACTAACACCAATGAATCTGAACCACTGTTAGCAACAGTGGGTAATTTTTAACATTGATAAGACTTTTTTGGCCTGATTCTGATCTGAATCTAACTAAACCAGTTTTACATGTGTAATGTCACTGGAATTACTCCTGATTTATACTGGTTTTACACAAGAACAGAATCAGATCCTATAATTTTTTATGTCCTGCAGACACCCTCCTGTATGGTATATAAGGAATTTCAGCTAGGAGTTTGACACATATACACACACATGCCAGTCAATGTCTTGCCTGTCACCAGTGGCAATCTTAGACCAAAGCATAACAAATAGACACTTGAGGCCCTATAATTCTGGAGGATTGTCTGTGGGCCAACCCAGGAAACACTCTACCATTGGCAGCTCCTCCTCTGGGTCCTGTTGCTGGACTAATGTCTTGTCTACAGGGGGAAACTGACAGCAGATCAATAGCAGAATAACTATTGAGCTGAAGCTATTCTGGTATAACTCCCCTGTATTGTATGGCCACTCTATTCCAGAATAAATGTGACTTTATTCCTGAACAATTACTCCAAAGGAGTGGAGTAATCATTCTAGAATAACGAGGAGTCCAGTGGCACCTTAAAGACTAACAGATTTATTTGGGCATAAGCTTTCATGGGTAAAAAACCCACTTCTTCAGATGCATGGAGTGAAAATTACAGATACAGGCATAAATATATATTGGCACATGAAGAGAAGGGAATTACTTTACAAGTGGAGAACCAGTGTTGAAGGCCAATTCAGTCAGGGTGGATGTGGTCCACTCTCAATAATTGATGAGGAGGTGTCAATACCAAGAGAGGGAAAATCGCTTTTCTAGTGAGCCAGCCACTCCCAGTCCCTATTCAAGCCTAAATTGATGGTGTTAAGTTTGCAAATGAATTGTAGCTCTGCAGTTTCTCTTTGAAGTCTGGTTTTGAAGTTTTTTTGTTGAAGAATGGCTACTTTTAAATCTGTTATTGAGTGTCCAGGGAGACTGAATGTTCTCCTGCTGGCTTTTGTATGTTACCATTCCTGATGTCTGATTTGTGTCCATTTATCCTTTTACATAGAGACTGTCCGGTTTGGCCAATGTACATGGCAGAGGGGCATTGCTGGCACATGATGGCGTATATCACATTAGTAGATATGCAGGTGAATGAGCCTCTGATGGTGTGGCTGGGTCCTATGCTGATGTCGCTAGAGTAGATATGGGGACAGAGAAGGCAATGGGGTTTGTTACAGGGACACCACTGGCCATCACATACAGCCCCCAGCAAAAACCTCTCCAGCGCATCATCAACAATCTACAACCTATCCTGGAAAACAATCCCCCACTCTCACAGGCAGGCCAATCCTCGCTTACAGACCGCCTGAAAACCTGAAGCAAATACTCACCAGCAACTACACCCCACACCACAGAAACACTTAACCCAGGAACTAATCCCCATAACAAACCGTGTTGCCTTCTCTGTCCCCATATCTACTCTAGCAACACCATCATAGGACCCAGCCACACCATCAGAGGCTCTATGTAAAAAGGATAAATGGATACAAATCAGACATCAGGAATGGTAACATACAAAAGCCAGTAGGAGAGCACTTCAATCTCCCTGGACACTCAATAACAGATTTAAAAGTAGCCGTTCTTTAACAAAACAAAACAAAAACTTGAAAAACAGACTTAAGAGAGAAATTTAACACCATCAATTTAGGCTTGAATAGGGATTGGGAGCGGCTGGCTCACTACAAAAGCAATTTTCCCTCTCTTGGTATTGACACTTCCTCATCAATTACTGGGAGTGGACCACATCCACCCTGACTGAATTGGCCTTCAATGTTGGTTCTCCACTTATAAGTTAACTCCCTTCTCTTCATGTACCAACATATATTTATGCCTGTATCTGTAATTTCACTCCATGCATCTGAAGAAGTGGGTTTTTTCCCATGAAAGCTTATGCCCAAATAAATCTGTTAGTCTTTAAGGTGCCACCGGACTACTCGTTGTTTTTATGGATACAGACTAACACGGCCACCCCTCTGATACTTCATTCCAGAACAGACTGTCCCCAATAGCAAAACAGCTACAGCACAAAAGTTATTCTGCTCTAGCTATGCCAAGCAATTTCCCCCATATAAACAAGCCCTGAGAGAAAGCCCCTTACCACGGGCAGCAAATATATCCTTATGGCCTGTGCTGCCGAGCCCCTGAGAAATAAAGCTCTTGCTGGACTGGCAGAAAGGGGAAGGGTCCGCTCCCTCAAGGGACCCTACCAGAAGGGCCCAGCAGCACGGAGAGGGTGAGTGCCACTGGGAGACCCATTCCCCGCCGGCAAGAAGCATTATGAGACCTACCCCCCTGGGGGGCACACGCACCCCCTACCCTAGGGACTAAGGTCCTGCGAATGGGCCTTTCAGGGACCCAAAATGGGGCCTATTTCCCCACGGGATCCACCCCACAGTCCCTGTGGGGGCTGCTAGGGGCCCCCACTCCACATGGCCACAGCGCTCCCTAGGCAGCTCGGCGGGGCGCCGGCAGACCTGCCCCACCCCCGGCGTTTGCGCGCCCCGCCGCCAGTACAAACACAGCCGGGGCGGAGCCAGCGCCAAGGGAAGCGGACGCGGCGGCTCCGCTCCTCCTGGCTCCCCCGGGCTGCACTTACCGGCGAGCCAGAGAAGAAGGCGGCGCTGCCCCAGCCCTGCAGGCGGCGCGGAGCCCCAGGGTAGAGGCCGGCGCATAGCGCCCGGCACCACGCATGGGACACCATCTCCTCCGCCGTCCCCTGCGTCGGGCGCGCTGAGATGGCGCCGCTTAACCCCGCCTCAGCAGCCCGCCCCCTTCCCCGGTGGGGACTGCCTGCCCCGTCTAAACCGGTCAGCTCCGCTCCCTCGGAAAGGGGCCGTCCGCTGGAAGCGCTGAACTCAACCCCCCCGGGAGCGGAGGCTGCTCAGGGCAGGCCCGTGTAATTTGTACATTTAAAGGGCTCCACGGGAGGATGTGTGTGGCAAAACCCTTGCCTGCCGTGCACCTTGGCACTGCAGAGGCAGGGTCCTGGCATTATACTGGTTCATATCATAGGCAAAGGACACACACCGTGCAATATATATTTTCAAACAAGAAGAGACTGTTTCTTCGTCAGAGTTTATCATCATGACGCTACAAGATCTGTGTCTACCATGGGCCCTTGTGGATACAGGGTCATCCTGATTCTCTTTTGGGACAGGCTAAAGATAACGGTCTCTCTTCATGTATTAAGGGTTCTCCCCATCTGTTGCCTAATGCTTTGCAAGCCATGACAAGGAACTGCTAGCAAGAATCTATAGTTAATGCTTTTAAAAAAAGATATAAAAACCTCTTGCTTCAGTGTTTAAGGCAGCAATTAGGGTAACAATTTCTTGCAGCTTCCACTGAAGCACTTAGTGGAAACTTTTAACAGTGCTAGTAATTAACTACTGGAACAATTTACAAGGGTTTGGGTGAATTCTCTATCACTGACAACTTTTAAATCATGATTGAGTGTTCTAAAGATCTCCTCTAGGAATTATTTTGGAGAAGTTCCAAAGGACTCGTCTAGCCTTAGAATCTATGCTGGTCACTGTTGGGGACAGGATATTGGACTAAATATAGCACAGGTCTGATGTGGTATGACAATTCCTATGTTCCAGTATAGGGTGTGCATTCCCAAGCAGTGACCATGGAAAGAAGTTGTGACAGGACAGTTTCCTGTGATATTGTGGACAAACCTTACTTAAGTAAATTAGGAGTTCTTTGTATTGAAAATGTTTATGGATTATTGTGGGATTATCTGTGGGTGAGACATGATTAATGTGAACCCTGGGAAGTGTTATGGATTCAAAGGATTCTTTTAAACAATGTGCTAGACAAGAACAAACTTTTAGTTGAGTGGGTTTCCCAGGAAGAGGTGTATGCAAATTGACCCATTCTGGTTGTGCAAGAACTCAGCCTTTTGAAATTACGCCTTGAGGAGGGGCCCTTTGTCTACTGCTCATCTGTTATGCGAGGACAAGAGCAGAAGCCCAAACTGTATAAAGGAGTGATTCCCAGAGTCACAAATGTTCTGAGCAATAAGTGTTATGAACCCGTACCCCAGGAAAACCCCTATGTGATGCTTGAAGGACTGATTCCTACCCGAGTCTCTGTTGGAGCTGAGGTGATCTCTGTTAAACTTATAAGCATGCAGGTAGGTTTTTATATGCTTTCTCTGTAATGCTTTACCTTAAGAATAAAGTGCTTGCTTAGGAAAAGCTGTGTGGTTCTTTATATCGATGGGCAATTACATTGTTTATAGCCTCTGAGAAGAACGTAAAGCTGGTTTGCTTAGGCAGTCTCACTTGCTGGTGACCTCACAGTGTAAGCAGGAAACTGTGCAGCCTGGAAAAATCCCAGTCAAGAGGGAGAGAGATTCAGGCCACTTCTCAAGGGACGAGGCAGGAGCCTAGAAGTGGATGCCTATGCTGGACCGTGGAGGGGGAATACGTGCGCAAGTGCTCTGAACTGTGACAGAAGCATAATCAAAACAGTTCCTTATTAACATTTACAGAACTACCAATACCACGAATGAAACATTGGTGGGTGGTGGCATACCTTAAAAAATAAACTTTGACACATCTTTCATAGAGTTGTTATTTATTGCCTTAAAATAGGGCTGATCACACTATACTGTTTCATGAGTAAGGCTACGTTTTAGTCACAGGTATTTTTAGTAAAAGTCATGGACAGGTCACAGACAGTAAACAAAAATTCACAGCCTGTGACCTGTCCATGACTTGTACTATATACCCCCTGGGCCAGGGGGCCGCAGGAGCTCTGGGGGTGCTGGGAGGTGGCCCAGGATCCCCACTAATGCTGGGGGGGGCCAGGCGGCGATGTGCAGCTCAAGACCCCGGCTGGTGTTGGGGGTGGGTTTGGTGGGGCTGGCAGGCTCCCTACCCGGCTCCACATGTCCCTGCAACTCCTAGGGGGAGGGAAGGCCCAAGGGGCTCTGTGCGCTGCCCCGCCACGAGCTCCAGCTCCACAGCTCCCAGTGACCAGAAACCACAGCCAAGGGGAGCTGCAGGGGCAGTGCCTGCTAGCAAGGACAGCGTGCAGAGCCCCCATGGCCCCTCCACCTAGGTCAGGAGCTGCAGGATCATGCTGCCCACTTCTGGGGCACCATGACTTCCGTGACAGACACACAGCTTTATTCATGAGACACCCACGTGACGCCCGCAATTCCACAACATGGTTTGTTGCTGTCCATGCTGGCAAGACCAAACCCTATTTATACAGAATTTCCCAACATAGTAAATTTTGCATTGTGGATAGTCCCTTGAAAAGGACTGAAAACCTAAGACACAATTATCTTTTTGTTTACACCAGTTTAAAGCAGGAGTAAATCAATGGTCTATAATCTGTGGAGTCTACTATAGTCTGTTGAGTTATGTTAGTGTAAAACTAGTGTGAGAGGAAAGTCAAGCCTGTGGCAAAAATACTGTTGAAGTCCTGACTACAGAGGCCAGCCAAACTGTATTTTAATCCAGTTTTTTGGGAATTCAGTTTAAGCCAAGTTCTCATGCAAGACCCAATTTTGCAAACCCTTACGCTCATGAATAGTCCTTATTCCATGCTAGTGCTAATACTGAAGTAATTCAGACCCTTGCAGGTTCACGCCTTTAGTTTTCAAATATAAACCCCAATGTGTAGCTAGTGTTTCACTATTGTAGATACTTGCAGTCTGTGATGGTTCCAATTTTCTAAAATCAATTTAAAATGTTATTATAACAAGGACTACAGTTGTTTTACTTTCAGGAGAATTTTTACCATCATTTTTTAAATGTTTTATTTTTTGTCCTATATTTTTAAAAGACACAGATAATCAAGCATTTTGTTGAAACACACTAACTTCAAAGACTTAGTTCAGGCTTCAAAGATCTCAGGCAGCCACAGAAAAATTAAAAGATAAGAATACAATATTTTTGCTAACCAATAACTGGCTCTCACTCAAATTGCCATTTTTGTTCTAACAGTAGAAGCAAATTTTGCATAGAACTGACAGAGGCATGTGCAGATATCAAATAGTTCCCCAGAAACTTACTTCTAATGCAAACCAAAGAGGCAAAAGAATACTGAAGTCTCCAGTACTTCATCTGGAGAATTATTAATTTTGGAACTCCAACATAGTTATATTCCAAAGACCCTGTCTTCACTGACCATGGAAGCCGTGTTAGCACCTTCCTAGAGTAGCTAGAGCCAATGTTAAAGTAGTGCAAAATGTTAAGCATATCACAGAAAATAAACAGGTATTACAAAATCAATATTTTGCAAGCATTTTAGCTAAACATCACTATAAAGGAAAAAAAAAATAAAAAAAAAAAAAAGAATGGCAAAGAGCTGCACCACACTCTTTCCACTCAGCTTTAACTCTGACTTGGGCAAGTTTCTTGCCCTTTTAAGCCCTGTCTAACCTTGCACAAAGTAAAATTGGTTTTGAGAACAATTTAATGTTGCTAGGTGTCACATTCCAGGATGGAATCAGTGAGGGGATGTGTCACCACCTGTCCTGCAACCTTGGTAGCCTCACAAAGCTTTGCTGTTGTATCTTCCAACCTGGGCTGCTCACAAACAGCCAAACAGCATGCAAGTCACACCTCAAGTGCCTGTGTACAGCTGCAGTCCTGGTCCAGCAACTCTGATCCCAGCAGCCTGTCAGCAACACACCAGCTCCACTCTGGCTTCCAGCAACCTTGTAACTCTGGCTTACTATTTGCTGATTGACCCTAACACACGCCCAGTCCCAAATTTTCCCCAAAGCATGCATTCTGCATTGCCCAGCCCTCTTATGGACAGTTCAGACATTATAAGTCAAGACAAATTAGAGGATTGGGCCAAAAGAAACCTGATGAGGTTCAACAAGGACAAGTGCAGAGTCCTGCACTTAGGACGGAAGAATCCCATTCACTGTCACAGACTAGGGACCGAATGGCTAGGAAGCAGTTCTGCAGAAAAGGACCTAGGGGTTACAGTGGACGAGAAGCTGGATATGAGTCAACAGTGTGCCCTTGTTGCCAAAAAGGCTAACGGCATTTTGGGCTGTATAAGTAGGCATTGCCAGCAGATCGAGGGACGTGATCGTTCTCCTCTATTTGACATTGGTGAGGCTTCATCTGGAGTACTGTGTCCAGTTTTGGGCCCCACACTACAAGAAGAATGTGGAAAAATTGGAAAGAGTCCAGCGGAGGGCAACAAAAATGATTAGGGGGCTGGAGCACAACTTATGAGGAGAGGCTGAGGGAACTGGGATTGTTTAGTCTGCAGAAGAGAAGAATGAGGGGGGATTTGATAACTGCTTTCAACTACCTGAAAGGGGGTTCCAAAGAAGATGGATCTAGACTGTTCTCAGTGGTACCAGATGACAGAACAAGGAGTAATGGTCTCAAGTTGCAATGGGGGAGGTTTAGGTTGGATATTAGGAAAAACTTTTTCACTAGGAGGGTGGTGAAGTACTGGAATGGGTTACCTAGGGAGGTGGTGGAATCTCCTTCCTTAGAGGTTTTTAAGGTCAGGCTTGACAAAGCCCTGGCTGGGATGATTTAGTTGGGAATTGGTCCTGCTTTGAGCAGGGGGTTGGACTAGACGACCTCCTGAGGTCCCTTCCAACCCTGATATTCTATGATTCTAAGTCTGTTGCCCCTGTAAGGGGTCAATATCCAACAGCCTGCTATTTTAAATGGAGTTACCAAACAGCTCGGTTTAAACACAACGCTAGATTAGTTTTGATTAAAAAATAAAACAAG